AGATTCAACTATTTACATCGAATGCTATACCGGGATCTGGCAGTTTTGCCTTGCGGCAATACATCTGCAACAACGCTCCACCTCTCCGTTTGCATCTGTACCATCTGTTGTTCAACCGAAGAAACCTGAACAACATCTCCGAGTTGTATTGTATACACCTCCGAATTCGTATCGCGAACTCGTGCCCCTGTCATGTACACGCGCTGCGGTCATGTGCTGCCCTCAGCCTCTCCAGTCTCTCCAGGTAAGACCTGAGCCAGGCAAACTCGTGCCTCATCTTCTCCATGTGCGCCTCCGCTACCTGCATCTCCTCGCTTAGTAAGCTGAGGCGCTTCTGCACCCACTCCATGCTTTCTTTGCTGTACCCTAAACTGCCCGTGATCCCATGAGGAGCCATTTGGACCTGGGGGGATCTAGTTAGCAGAACTATGATGGTCACCTGCAACAGAAGTATGTGTCAGAATGGTTGGTAGTCAGAGGATGATTCACTGATCATTTTCATCATTTCATGCCATTGGTTATGTTCAGATATTTTTCAGTTGAGGTTTATTCAGCATAACAAACTGCATAAAATCCAAAAAACTTGCCTGCATTAGGATAATGATAGCCACCAGTACCACTGCTAGTACTGGACCAAGTTGGCTCGATCTCATGTATGACGTTAGTGAACCCCACAATTCTTGTGAAGTGGACACGATGGAAGAATCTCTCCTGTTCTCTGCTGGTGATCTTGAATAGGAGGAATGAGGCTTCTCGCACCAGATTCATCCTGTGAGGAACTCACCACTGGAACTTGTACTTCCACGGTATTTTCCTCGTTTGTTGTAGCCCCTGGTTGAACACCAGAATCAGCTGTGCTGGAGGTGCCTGTAAGAATGGATGGAAAAAATAGCTATTTAATTGCTTCATAACTTAGCGTTTGCAGTGAAAGGGATGCGGTTCATATAGAGAAAAGTTGGAACTGCAGCAACTCTTTGACTGAACCGTGAAGTACAAATTACCTTTTGATCGATCATATTCCTGCTTCAAAAGATCATGACCCTAAAAACATGAAATGAGAAAAGATTATATACACCTCCAAATGGACAGTAGCACTGAGAAATATTTTCAAGTATGAGAATAGACGTACAAGCTTAATCCAGAGACTGAAAACTTCACGGCATTCATCTTTTGTTGACTGCTCTATTTTTCCTGTGATTTAGAGATTTAAAGAATATAAGCAGTGATGCCATACGTTCTAAATAAATGGTACTATATATGATTGGTGTTGGAATAAACTAATTGCACAAACATACAGACGCCATGATAATAAATGATGAGAATAGTACTTTCTTTAAGCCTGGCAAGGGGCTCAGACAAGGTGACCCCCTGTCACCCCTTCTATTTAATTTAGTTGCTGATGTGTTTTCTAGAATGCTTATGAAAGCAGCTAGGGCAAATCTTATTTCGGGCCTGTTACCTCAGGTTGAATCTGGGGGTATTATCAGTCTACAGTATGCCGACGATACCTTACTTTTTTTGGAGGATGACCTCACTAAAGCTGCAAATCTGAAATGGATGCTGGTATGCTATGAACAGTTATCTGGTATGAAGATAAATTATGATAAGAGTGATCTTTTAGTAGTTGGGATGGAGGAGGATAGAGCTAATGAATTTGCTAGAATTTTATGTTGTAAGAGAAGTAATTTCCCAATCAAGTATCTAGGGGTTCCCCTGCACTTTGCTAAGTTGAGAGAAGACCTACAGCCCATAACTGATAAGATAGTGAAGAGGATTGCTGGCTGGCGGGGAGGCTCCTGTCTTATGCAGGAGACTGACCCTTCTTAAGACCTGTTTGGCCAGCATACCGATTTATCTCCTCTCCATTATTAAGTTTCCTAGATGGGCCATAGACATGATTAATTCACATATGGGACACTTTCTGTGGAACAATACTGAAGACCACCACAAATACCATCTAGCTAGTTGGCAGTTGGTGTCCCAGAAAAAAGAAATGGGTGGCTTTGGCATCCCTGATTTACGGAGTTTGAATTTAGCTCTTTTAAGTTCCTGGATCTTTAGATACCATTTGAATACCAATTCGATTTGGACTAGGATAGTTGATTATAAGTATAAGACAAAAAAACCCAATATATTTTGCTGTCCTGATGTTGGATCCTCACCTTTTTGGAAAGGTGTGATTTGGGCTATACAGGCTGCCCATATGGGTATCAGGTGGTTAGTCGGAAATGGGGAAAAAATTCGGTTTTGGGAAGACCAATGGTTTGGTAATACCAGTCTGGCGATCATCTATTGGCCATTGTATGTTATAAACGAACAGCAAGGTAAATCCATTCAGGAGGTCTGGGATGGTGAGGAGCTTAAGCTCTCTTTTAGAAGGAATGTGTCTGAAAGTCTTATGTCTCTTTGGGAAGAACTGAGAGCTATTGGAGAAAGTGTTGCCCTCACTAATGAGGAGGACCGAATCATATGGAGTTTTAACTCTAATGTGCGGTATTCTGTCCAGTCCTTGTATGCTGTGATTAACCATAGAGGAGTAGTTCCAGTCTTTGTGCAGGCTGTCTGGAAACTCAGTATACCACCAAGGGTGCAAATCTTCCTGTGGTTACTTTCTAAGAATAGATTGTTAACTAGAGATAACCTTGCTAAGCGTAGAAGTCAATGACCCCTCTTGTTTGTTTTGCTCTGAGAATGAGTCAATTGTGCATCTGTTTTTTGATTGCTGTGTAGCCACAAATGTTTGGCAGTATATATCTGATTTGCTAAATGTGAATATCAGGAAGGATTTTGAATCTGTAGCTGCCTTGTGGTTAGCCAATAAAAACACTTGATCACTAACATTGTATCTTTCTGCGGTTTTATGGGTGCTTTGGAAATTACGGAATCTATTGTGTTTTCAGGGAGTAAGTTGGAGTGGGCTAAAGAAGGTGCTGTCTATGACTGGAAGAATGCTGAGAGGGTGGCTACCCATGTTCAAGCCGGTTGTCCAGGAGAAAGTGGAGTTTATCATTCAACAAGTGGAACACGAAGCAAGCTTGGCGCCATGAGATCAGTTGGAGGCAGGATTCATTAGAGTTGGCACAATCAGATGCTCAGCCTTCGGAGGTCTTAAGCGATGTGATCTGGGATCAATGTAATAGGCCTAGTAGTTTCAGCTGTGGACCTGGTTAAACTCTAGTTTCGCAGCTTGGCTGCTTTTGTTGGTTTTGGCGGCTTGGCTGCTCTGTCTTGCGATGGTGCCTAACTCTGTACTGAATTGTTGTTCGCTTTACATCTATAAAGCGAGGAAACCTTTATTCAAAAAATACAGGCGCCATGATAGCAAAATTCGAGCATGGAATCTGATCCACGATAAACAACATCTGCAAGAGTCTCTACATCAACTCCGTTCTATTCATAGTGATACAATCCCTAGAACTAAGCCCCTCAGTTTCACTGAAAATAGCACGGCAATCCAAAGAACCAACTTGGCCAAATCAAGTATATGACATATTGAACTGCAGGGGGGGAGGGGCTCCACTTACTAATAATAACTGCTTGTGTCATTTGTACCCAGGTAACCATTACTTTGTATTTTTTTTTCCAACTATGCGACTAAAAAACAGTAAATACATAAATAAAAATGTGCACCATTGTTGTGGAAATATATAGAGCTGATATAAGTTGTAACCCTAGGGGTTTCCCTGGCAAATTATGTTTTGGTTTATCAACACATGAGCTGAAACTTAACATAAAAAGCATAGCTTGTAAGATTCAGGCACCAGGTTAAGTTGGCCTAACTCAAATTAACAAACTTTCTCGCAGAAACTAGAGTTGGTAGGGGGTTAATTCTGAAGGCATGCAAAAAATGGGCCCTAAGAATATTGAGGACATTTTGAAAGTGCCGGAGGATCCAGGATACAAGGATGCAGGATAATTCCAAATATCGTTCTCGCTAGAGCATTCAGGATACAATGGATGTAAATTACCTCTAAATATCGTTTTCTTTGAGAAGGCTACATTAATATATATCCTGAGGTCACAACAGTTCTCATCTAGGCTATCCTGTTCGACATCCCAGATGCCCTGAAGGTAAAAATAAGATCAAACAAGAGTTAAGGGCTTAAAGCTAAGAGCAAATCAATGTTAATATGGCATATAACAACAGAAGTTGATACTTGACAGAAGCAAAATGAAAAATCATAAATGCATTATTTTCCATTGTACACAAAAAGGAAATTCCAAGCTAGATAAAAACCAACATTATAAACAGCATTTGGATTACTCACCTCTACAGTGAAATGGTCCCCATATGGGGCATCACCTATTGACTGAGAGGTTTGAATCATTAGATGCCTACAAAGAAGTGAAGGAAGTTAATTGCAGGGAGCTGTAACATCAATTATTCTTCGGAAGGGAAACATTGCTACAAGAAACAAGCATGCGGCAGATTGAACCAATGTTTTCAAGTCGTCCAGTCGAACCTAGTCGCCATGGGACCGACTAGGACGATTAATCGGACGACTTGTACAAGTCGACGGTACCCCTAATCAGTCAGCAGGGACCGATTAGGATGATTAATCACGATTAATCGGACGACTTGAAAACATTGGATTGAACAGAACTAGCAACAGATTACTGCTCGGACTAAAATCCAAACATAAGAAATTAAGGCATGAGTTTTGTTCAGGTACAGAGCTAAGTTTGATAAAACCAAGTAACCAACAAACAGGGCGTACCCAGTGCAGAGAGCTCCCGCTCTGTACGGGGTCTGGGGAAGGGTGTCAGTGGCAAGCCTTACCCTCGCCTGTGAAATGCGAGAGAGACTGCGACTCGAACCCGGGACCTTCCGGTCACAGGCGGTAAGACTCTACCGCTTGCACCAGGCCCGCCCTTCAAGTAACCAACAAAAGAGGACACTAAATAATTGCTAGTTCTACAATCTCAATTTTTTATTCCATAATGACCAAAGGCTCAGTGAAGACACCACTTAACTGGAAGAAAATGGATCTTAGACTAACCTGTTTTTGTAAAGACGAAGTTTCTGAACCTCTTGACAAGTCCCAAATTTTGCACCTAAAGACAATTCAGAGTAATCAAAGTGGACCATAAGAAAATATAAAGCAAGTCATAGCCCATGTCATATTCGATGCCAATTAATTTCTTCAGTCAACTGAAAGCTCTTGTCTTACCGAGATAAATTTTTATCGGATGCAAAAATGAGACATCCCTTACAAGTCCCCCTTGCTCATCTGTACGCCATTTCGAGCAACTAAATTCTGCAGGTCATCCACGTCAAAACTCAAAATACTTCTAAAGGCCAAAAGATGTTCATGATTAAGGAAAGGATAGATTGGCATCAACCTTTGTCACCACATTTTTTGTGGAAATCATCCACATAGCCAAAAGCACCATCAGACAATAAAAAATTAAAGAGAACCTCCACAGGCACCTGTTTTTAGGATGTTAGTGTTGTAAGCGTAATTGTCAATACTACTACAAAGAAATGGAATCGTGCAAACCTGAAACTTTGACTCCGTGATCATAGTGTAAGATTCAGGTACTGTGAGAAAAGGCATGATGGACGTTTAGTAAAACAAAAAATCATGTAACGAGTGGCTAGCAAACAATTAATGATATAAAAATGAATAGGAATAACGAATATGGCAACAAACCACTAGGAGGAGCATCATCAAGTGGTTCCAAATTGAATGGGTTCAGTGCGATGATGTTGTCTTGAGTCCATTCTCCTCAACTTTTGAAAACCTTTTGGAAATGTTGATGTTGAATCACCACCATCAGCACTACTAGAGACAGCTGTACTATCGACAGACCTACAGTCCAATATGTTTGAATCATAAATAATTATAGAGAAAAGAAGTCGATTTCAAGATTTAAGACAAGCGTAAATCATTTTTGTCCATAAGCCAAAACCTGTCCGGTGGTGATGAATCTTCATCTTGTTTAGATTCCTTTGCTCCTTCCAATAAAACATAACCATTTTCTTCACTGCTACTAACTGACTTTGTCTCCTATATAGTGCCGTAAAAGATTCCATGTGAACAATAGTTTAGAAACAAACAGTAACTCCAAAGTGGCAGCTCCAGGTCAACAGATTGAAGTTACCAATGTGGTAATGATTCATAAAGAAACAAATCTGCTAACCTGACGTTCAAGGAGCAATCTTGCATCACTAACATGTTGTTCCCAGCCATCTACTATAATTCGATAGGCTTCATCACGTGACAAGAACGATCCAAAAAAGTGCTGAAAGTAACAGGACATTAGTGCAAGTGGTTTAATAATGTATACATACAAGAAACTTAGACAATGATAGCTCCCTCACCCTTCTAGTACCAGCAACAATTTCAATGGCATTAGAAAAAATGGCAGCTGTCTTTGCTTTACGAACATCAGTTACCTCTTGCAAAGGTATTGTTTTCTGGATAACAGGAACAATGTCAGGGAACTTCTCGAAGTCAACTAAACAAGCTAGAACAGCTATATGGTGATGTTCTCCTTGGATCATTTATTAGTTATTACCTTTGTCTCATATCCAAATATGTTAGAGTAGAAGCATATATGGTGAAGAAATAAATACATATGCCCCTGCAAGATAACACAATTTAGTAACAAAGTCCATTAAGAATGCTCAGTTTAAATATTACATTTATTTCCTTAAAAGATAAAAAGATAAGTGTGCAACTTAATTCAAAAACAATTTTAAAGTTGTCAGATGACCCGGTAGATTTTTTAGACACAAGGCACTGGCTTAGCATTGATGAATACTTAATAATTTTACAAGGCCAAAATCTGTTCATTTATTTCACTAGAGGTTAACAGGAGATATATTTAGGGAGCACCGCAAATTTAATAGGAGCATGTACTCATATTTTCACCAAATATAATGGATGACAAATAAATGTATACTTTATTGTAATGTCATGGAGACGATCATGTAAGAACTACCTGAAGAAGGATATTTTCTTGGAGAGCGCAGTTAAAATCTTGCACGAAAACCTGGATGACACGAAAAGTTAAGTAAAATACAAACAACGAATTGCATTCTCAGTTTCTCACTTGCATAAATGAAGTGTACCAACCAAACAACATTTGTGGAAATCAGTGTTTTCCTTTATTCAAATGGACATGATAGTCCATAAATAAATGTTACCGAATGGCAAGTGCTCTCGAATCAAATGGTAAACTTGACATGTATGGTAACAGGCTATGTTAGATGGACAGTTGGACACTTTGGCTTAAGCGTTATTGCTCAAAATCCACCTATCAGACTACCTTTCAATCAACTATCAGCAAAATAATTAAGTATGATCACTCAAAATCCTCCTTTTTGTACAGTGGTTCAAATAACTGTCAACCAAATCAAAACGCGGAAGGAAACTCATGAAACTATAAACCGCTTAGGAGTGAAGTCAAACCAATAATTATAACAAGGCTCCTCTGAACTCACTCGTGATTCAAACCAAACTCTCAAAGCAAGATGCTGGCGTACTCCAGAGCAAAGGAGCAAGATGCTGGCATACTCCAGAGCAAAGGGTAAAGCAGCTAGTAATTAATTATGATAAGGTTTGTCCTAGAAAACGACGTTGTGATCAAAAAGTCAAAGCCCCCCACGAAATCAAATCCCCTCAGCACCAGTACGAGCACTTGAGCATCCAAATTCCGCCAGAACGCAACGATCACGGCCCAAAGTCAAAAGCTAGATCGCACGGAGGGAGGAAGGAGTTAGGGATCACTCGGCACCAATCAGCCGCGCGTCCAATTACCTCGTCGGGCGGCAGCCGGAACAGAAGCCTGTACTCCTCGCTCCTGCTCGCGAGCAGCGGGCTCTGCACGATCAAACACCGCGCCACATCAGACACGCACCAGGTCAAAGGAGGAAAAAAGGAAACGAGGTGCGATTCCAGCGGTGATCGAATTCGCACGCAAGCGCGCTGCGCGCGGCACCCACCAAGGCGTCGGGGGCGGAGAGCTGGTCCCCGGAGTGGGTGGAGGCCGGGGAGGAGGACCCGGACGCGTCGACGGCGGGCGGCGCCGACGCGAGCCGCCGCGGCGGGGAGGCGGGCGAGGGCGCGGCGGTGGGGATGTCGGTGGGGCTCGCCCGGCTCGGGGAGGCGACCGTGGGCGAGGCCATGCCGGTGGACGCGGGCGAGACTGGGGTCGGGTCGGGCGCAGTCGCGCGGAGGGCACCGGGACCGGGAGGAGGGCGGGGGTGTGAGGGTGGTGGGATGATTGAGAAGGGTAGGTGAGACTATCTCCAACGCAAAGTACCAAATGGAAGACCCATTCATTCGATATTTCGAGTCATGCACAGTGAAAAGGTCAAGAAACCAAACCTCACGCAACAGCTGAGGTCACGGGCGACCCCCTCTCTCCTCAATCTCAATCGGCGATCACGGGCGAGGAGGAGGCGCCGCGGGGGCCGAGCGGGGACGGCGCCGCGGGGGCTCCCCGCCTCCCATGGCCGACCACCCCCCCTCACCGGCGAGCACCCCCACCCATCGCCCGTGAGCTCGGACGGCACGGCGCTGGGGCCGCCGCCGCTGCTCCCGTCGGAGCTCCTCCACGAGATCCTACTCCGCCTCGCCATCCCGGAGCTCCTCCGCGTGCGCTCCGTGGCGCGCCCGCTCTCCGGCCGTGCGTCTCTCTCTCTCTCCACCAACCACCATGGTGCTTTCGCCCGCCGGCGGCCTTTCCGTCTTGGCCAGGCCTCGGCGGTGTCCTTGGCCATGACCAAGGATTCAGCGGTGCCGCCCAAGACACAAGACAGCGCGGAGCCCTTTCTCGGCCGGGCTGCGCTAGAAAGGCGCTTCTGGCGGCGGCCCCTGGGCGAAGCGCTCCCCCAGCAATGGCGCCACCACCCTGGCGCAGAAGATTTTTGCGTCGTCTCTCCTCGACGACGCTTTTTTGCGTTCTTGCCGGCGTCGGACCCAAAATGGGTTCTTTGAATGGGTCTTCTGTTGGAGCGTGATTTTGATAGGCAAAAATACTGTGTGTGACCGATTTTGCGTTTGGGGCTCCTCGTTGGAGACAGTCTGAGTGAGGGCAAGGAGAGGAGGAGGGTTTACCTTTCCACGTACTGCTATGTATGTACTTGTACTTCACTTCTCCCCGCTCCGTCCGATGTCTCCACTCGCTCTCTCCCACATTCACTCGGCCTCGTCCCCCCCCCCACACTCAATCTCTCCTGCGCTGCTCCTCTCCGCTTTCTTTGTTGGCTCTTGGTCCGTCCGGGATAGGGACACGCACCCACGCTCGTCACTTTGTGCTCCTTTCTCCCTCCGTCCCTCGCCCTCCGCGACCTCTATGCACCCCTAATTGCACCCCCATCGAAGATGAGGACGATAGCGGCGGCTCCGACGAGGTAGCTCGCGGAGGGATCTGGATCTAAAGCCGGCTCCTCTTCCTCTGGATCTGGATCTGAGCCCTCCTCCTCCTCCTCTGGATCTAAGGGATGCGGCGGTAGCTAGGGTTCCGGTGAGCTCTCGGGTTTTTTTATGTTGCAAGAGATGATTTGAATGTTGCAATGAGATTGATTTCAGGTTGTTTGCAGAATGAGATTTTTGAGATATTGTATATTTTTGAATGTTTGCAAAGATGTTTTTTTGATGTTGCGATAAACATTTTTTTTACTACATGTTTTTCAATGTTGAGATGCATATTTTTATATTTTTGCGGTAGATATTTTTATTGTTGCATAATTTTTTAGATGTTGCGATGCAAACAATTTTTGCGAGTATATTTTTTCAATGTTGATCCATATTTTCCGTTTGTTGCGGTAGATATTTTTTGTTGTTGCAGTAGATATTTTATGATGTTGCAGGATATGTTTATCAATGTTGCACTACATATATTTTTCGATGTTACAGTTGGGGAAGGGGGTGCGTTGGGGAAGGGGGGACAGGAGCGTGTTGAGGAGCGGAGCCGTCGTCGGGGGCCACGACGCGGTGGGGGTGCTCCTACGGGGGCGAGACAAACGGATGGGGATGGGGGATGAGAATGGCGATGGAGATGGGGACGAGGTGTGGACGTGTCGGGCGTGCGCGGGGGCATCCCGGTGGAAGCGGGCGATGGGGACGAGGTTGGGGATGGGGACGAGGTTGCTGGTTGTGGGCGGAGAGACATCTAGGAGCAGCAGCGCGAGCGTCCGACGCTAGCGCCCGGATCAGACGTCCTGACGCTAGCAATTCCCATAATAAAGGCGAGGTGCGTGACAGTGACGTGTTCCGGCTCCGGCGTTTCTGGCTCCACCTCCTCCGCCGCCTTCCTCTGCTATGGTATGGGTTTGCTCGTTCCAGACTTTCCGAAGAAGAAAGCGGGCAGAGGAGCAATAGAAGACTAGTGCGTTCGGCCTTCTGTTGAATCGAATTATCTTCCGTTTATAATCATCCTACTTTCTCTCGTCATGAATATAACTTTATTATATACATTAACTTGGAAACTTTTGAGTAAAACGTCTTATAATTTGGAATGAAGTTCATTAATTATTGTCATGATGAAATATCTTTTTGTGACTATATGATTTTTTAGATGACGATGGTCAAAGTATTAGGAAAGTTTGAGTCAGAACAAAGATATAGCAAAACTTATATTTGCAAGGGGAGAAGTAAAAGAAGCTATGATAAGCAAATATAAAGTTTTAATTAGAAGTACTATATATAACCATAATTGTGAGGGGAAAACAGCTTACAATCACATACTCCTTCCTAGGTCACTGAGCAAGGTGTCACAATAAAGAACGGTTCAGATAAGGTACAGTTTAGTCCAAATTCAAACATGAAACAACAGCCCTGCCTCGTTCTAGTTCGGCGGCATGGCGGCAGGGCGGCAGCCAGCACCATTAGACCCGGCCAAATCCGGCGATAAAAATACCAAAACCACTCACGAGTGCCGACGGCACTCTAACACGTAAACGCTCCTCTCTCAAACGTCGCATCTCCGGGCGTTGCGTCGCGTCCATGCGCATATATCTAAGATTAAGAAAACACCGCCATCTACGATTAGCAATTAACAAGTTGGATCATAAACTAACACCATGATGATTGATTGAGAGGGGCCGGTTGATGGAACACCCACGCCGGCACGCCACGGCGAGTGCGAGACCGAAGCGTGCCGGTTTTGCCTTGGACTCGGCGTCGGGGCAGGGGCAACCCGAAGCGTGCCGGTTTTGGCTAGGGATCGGCGATCCCCGCGGCGGGGCCACGGCGACGGCGACGGCGACGCGGCACCGGTGGCATCAGTGGCACGTCGGCGCGGCGCCCGCCTCCGCCTGTGCGCGCTCGATCGCGGCGTACGGGTACGGCGTGACGCGTACAGGGCCGCTCTGGCCCACTCATCCTGCCATGCGGGGCCGGGCCGCCAAAAGCGGACCTCAAATCGAATGGGGGTCTCTGTTTTCGTGTCCTTGTCCGAGACCGAGATATCGACAGATCTGAGACACGAGCAAGGACGGAGCAGCAGTGCTAGCGTCGCCCGAACGTCCACTCTGCATAGGAAGGACCAGGTGTGCCCGGCCGCGGGGTCCTATGGATGCGCAGCCAGCGTAAGAGAAAGAAGAAATGCCGCAGAAGCAGAGGAAAAAGATGCAACATCTGATTTACAAAGACAGATGAAATACTTAAAACATATGTACGAAATACTTGAAAAAACACACATGAAAAACACTTAAAATCATTGCAAACATATACAACATCTAGATAAACACACTTGCAACATGTGTCTGGAAAAACAGATGAAACATTGGGAACAGAAGCTTGCAACATACATATCATTGCAACATCTCGATCTACTTTTGCAACATTCATTTAAAACACTTGCAACATATCTATGAAACATCTGAAATACTTGAAACATATACTTGCAACATATGTTTTCACCTTTCTTCTTCCAAACGACGTAGAGCAGAGTGGGTATCAGCCAGTTTCGGCCAGCCGGTGGCCAAGGATGGTGGCATGGTCTAGGAGCTGCAAGCTACGCCTGCGCCTGGCCTAGCCTGGCCCGGCCAGCGACGACCCTATCTCCTAGCCACCTAGCCACACACGGCGGCCGCCTGCTGCGCGGCGGTCGCTTAGCGTGGTGGAGAGGGAGGAAGGCGATCGGCGGTGCTCGGATGTGGTGGAGATGGAGGATAGAGGCCGTCGGGTCAGACGGACGTGGTGGAGAACGTCGCTACGAGGCAATCACAGTGGACCGCTCTACGATGGTGCGGGCGATGCTTTAAGTGGAGAGCAAATTTTCTAAGCGGAGACCGCAGCCAAACGAAAGAAACATGAAGACAAGTGCGGAGAAAAGTTGTTGGACCATTCGGAGTGTGGCAGCCCACGCCAACCTGAGCGTCCGATCAATCGGACGTCCAGGTGTAAGCATTCCCGAGGATGAAATGTCCGGAACCATGGGGCTCGGTCAATTTGGTCTCGTAGATCGTCGTGGAGTTAAACAAAAGAGGTTTAGAGTGGACGGTAGAGTTTTTGAAACTTAAAAAAAATATAGTTTTAGCAGTACCACGGCAAACACCTCGTACCACCCTAAAACCGAAGTATTTTATAAAACCGTGGTATTTTTCTAGAGCATCTCTGATAGTACTTCTAAAATTTACTCTCTAAATCATTATTTGGAGAATTATTTAAATAAAAATTATTTTCTGTATTTTTATACACTCTGACAACTTTTCTATATCATGTTTGCACTCTAGAGATTTATCCTCACTCTCAATCTATGACTAGCGAGAAATACGGAATAGATGATGTCTATGTTTAGATATCTCTGCATCTAAAAAGACCGGTAACGTTATATTCTACTCGGTGATACCAAAACTCGATCTCTCCTTAGGCGTCCGCGTCGTGATAGAATTATCCTCTACTTAGAGCTTACGTGTCCGCGTCTACTCGTCTCCGATACGAAGACCGGATCCATGTTTCCACGTCTGACACGAAGTCTTCGAAGCTCAAGCGTCTGCAAGCAATCCGGTAAGGTCTCGTCTATTTTTAGTTTTCCTATTATTTCCTGCAAAACCATTGCTACAAGCGTGGACAAAAATATGTGGTCCCATACACGGGCATATATATCTGCCTGATTTAAGAGCTTATAATTGAAGAATATTTATTTTATCAAAATCTATATTTCTATAAATTAAAAAGGATTGTACTTATATCAAACAGGGCCTAATTGGGACAGGCGGGCAATATTCGTGTACGTACTCCGTAACGAAGCGCAGTAGCCACTGGCAGGCCAAAACCCTCCCTACAAACTCGCGGAAAGCCGCACCGAGAGCACCATTAAGGACGGGCGCGAGAGGGAAGGCCGAAAGCGAAACGCCCAAACCCCAGGAGGTCCTGTCGGATCCTCCAAACCCTAACCCTAGCGCCCCCGACTCGCCGCGGGGCGATGGCGATGGATGCGGAGCGGCGGCAGGCGGAGCTGATCGCGCAGTTCTCCGCTCAGGCGGCGGCGCTTTCCTCCGCGCCCCAGCTCGCCGCGCTGGTGCTCGAGGCCACCTCCCACCCGGCCCTCTTCGCCTTCTCCGAGCTCCTCACCCTCCCCGCCCTCTCCAAGGTACGCACCCCGCCCTTCGGCGGGCGCCCTACTTTGTTACCCCGGGGCCTGCTGCCGGACTAGGGTTAGGGTATAGTTATCCGTTTGCTTTCGCGTCGATTAGGTGGTGTGCGGCTCGATCTGACGCGGGTTTGTTTGTTTGTTTGTTGGCGCAGCTCTCTGGCACGCAGTACGCGTCGTCACTGGACTTGCTCCGGCTCTTCGCCTATGGCACCTTGAAGGACTACAAGAGTAAGATCGTGGCCTGCGCCTTTGCAATTCTTACATTGTTTTGCCCTTTGCGGCTTTGCGTTCGTTGCTGTGCGTCTCGGTGTATGCCCGTTGGTTCTGTGGGCTTTTCCGAGGTATGCTGTTTGGTCTGTTTGTTTGGAGTACTCCCAGCAACTCTATCTGTGGCTTAAAATAAAAGCTGGACCATGGGGATTCTGGTCTAAAGATTATCGAGTATGAACTCGGAAATTTTACTCTGAAAGAAGGCCACTGGGTGGGTGAGATCTAATGTTGAGATCACACATTGCAGAGAATGTTGCTGATGACTCAAATTTAAAATTTTATTTCTGGAATTCTGGTCAACAAACTGAGAACACATCACATATCACATTGTCATGCTAGAGAACAGATGATGAGCTATTGAGATGAATTCACCTTTTTACCAACTACTATGAATGTGCATTTAACTGTTCATAAATAAGGTTATGAACTTATTTCTGCTTGTGGACTTATATCCTACCGTGCACTGCACTTGTAATTTCTGAAATTTTCCGCTTGTTTGATCTGCCATTGCTGTCAACGTGTATTTAGTGGTTAATGTCCAAGTTTGGCTTACTTATTGGTACTGCACTACTGCTGTAGCAAGATATGCACATTGTTCTGTTCGCTAATGTATCTTCGTGCAAGTGTAGGTAATTCTGGATCCCTTCCAGCATTGTTGCCTGACCAGGTCCGGAAGCTAAAGCAACTCAGTGTGCTAACTCTGGCAGAGTCAACTAAGGTGCAAATTCTGATGAAACCTATCATCTAATATTTGTAGCAATCATCTATATCATGCCAATGACACAAAGGCGGGGTGAATCTATATTGACATTAGTGGGTGCTGGCGCACCCACACAAAATTGAAAAAACAGTGATTATGGCTAAATTTTCACCATATCTGCACCCTCACAGTAAAATTCTATGCACCCACAAGGCCCCCCCCCCCCTTCAAATTTGCTCTAGCTCCGCCAAGCTATGCTTATTTGTTGCCATCACTTGCAGGCATGTAAATGGTAGCTACCCATCTTGCATGTTTGTTGTATAGGTTTCTTAATCCTCCTCTTTGTTCTTCTAATGGTAAATATTTCTGTGTAGTAGCCTAGTAGGAACTATCTTTGAAGGGGAAAGTGTTATTTTCTTTGGTCAATTAGTTAACCAACGGCTGATAATCTGACCTTATTATGCGTGCCAAATCTATGAAATACATGGACCTATATTATGCTTAGCTTAACATTGGGAGAAACATTACCTTCTACTCCACAACAACAACAACAACAACAAAGCCTTTAAGTCCCAAACAAGTTGGGGTAGGCTAGAGTTGAAACTCAGCAGAAGCAATCAAGGTTCAGGCACGTGAATAGCTGTTTTCCAAGCACTCCTATCTAAGGCTAAGTCTTTGGGTATATTCCATCCTTTCAAGTCTCTTTTATTGCCTCTACCCAAGTCAACTTCGGTCTTCCTCTGCCTCTCTTCACGTTACTATCCTGGCTTAGGATTCCACTACGCACCGGTGCCTCTGGAGGTCTCCGTTGGACACGTCCAAACCATCTCAACCGGTGTTGGACAAGCTTTTCTTCAATTGGTGCTACCCCTAATCTATCACATATATCATTGTTCCGAACTCGATCCCTTCTTTTATGACCGCAAATCCAACGCAATATACGCATTTCCACGACACTTATCTGTTGAACATGTCGTCTTTTCGTAGGCCAACATTCTGCACCATACAACATAACAGGTCTAATCGCCGTCCTATAAAACTTGCCTTTTAGCTTTTGTGGTACCCTTTTGTCACATAGGACACCAGATGCTTGGCGCCACTTCATCCACCCTGCTTTGATTCTATGGCTAACATCTTCAATATCCCCGTGTCTCTGTAGCATTGATCCTAAATATCGAAAGGTATCCTTCCTAGGCACTACTTGACCTTCCAAACTAATATCTTCCTCCTCCCGAGTAGTAGTGCCGAAGTCACATCTCATATACTCAGTTTTAGTTCTACTGAGTCTAAAACCTTTGGACTCCAAAGTCTCCCGCCATAACTCCAGTTTCTGATTCACTCCTGTCCGGCTTTCATCAACTAGCACTACATCGTCCGCGAAAAGCATATACCAAGGGATGTCCTCTTGTATGTCCCTTGTGACCTCATCCATCACTAAGGCAAATAGATAAGGGCTCAAAGCTGACCCTTGATGTAGAATTAGCCTTAGATAGGAGTGCTATATTTTTTTACCTTCTACTCCATGCTATATTTTTACCTTCTACTCCATGCTATATTTTTTCCTGTAGAATTCTAATGTACCCCCTTTTTCACTAAAATTCTTTCTTCAGATACTACCGTATGATCAGCTCATGCAAGAGTTGGACGTTTCCAACGTAAGAGAACTTGAAGATTTCCTAATCAATGAGTGCATGTACTCGGTGAGTTGTTACATCCTCTTTCGATTTATGCACTTAATCTTTGTATAAACCATCCCTGTGAGACTTGTAAATGTGTCATTTGAAAATTTATCATTTACCACTACTGGTAGTATTTTTATTATTTCTAGTGGTTTTACTGTGGTTTCTAATACTTCTAGTGTTGCCTACCTAAAGTATTTTTGGCATCATATACATAATATTCTGCATGTTTATGTAGGGTATCGTTAGAGGCAAACTGGATCAGCTGAGAAGGTGCTTTGAGGTAAGATGCTTGCAGCCTGTATCTGTGGCATCATTTTCTATCTGTCTAATGATAAGTTTTTTTATTAAAAAAATTTCTCTTCATTCATTTTAGGTACAATTTGCAGCTGGAAGAGATCTTACACCTGATCAGCTAACCAACATGATAGAGACCTTGTCTGACTGGTCTGTATGCTTATTTAAGAAATCTTTCTACATCTAGTAAATGCGCATGCTTGTTTAGTACAACTTTTCTACTTCCAAAAAAATGTGAATGCTTGTTTTCGTAATTGCCATTTAATTTTATGTCTCATATACAACGTTATGATGTCACATTGTGGTTTGTTTGCCATGGGATGGACAACCTGTTTTTCTGTTATGTTTATTCTTCTATTGATTGTTTGCGCTACTCTTCTTGGTGTCTTACAAGGTAGTGACCTATATTAGTTTTATGAGATAATTTGTTTTGGTAGGATGGTCATGATCATAGGCACAACTCACAAAGTTCCCGGGTCGAGGAACGTGGTACGCTACTTGTGAGAGGTTTTTACACTGCAGGTTCGAAAATGACCCCGCGTACCCGGGTCGGGGGTCGATGCCTTCGACCTGTTTTATGTGACTGATCATGATGTGATGAAATAGTGTGCACCATATTGTTCCCTAAAAGCCATGGCCTGTTTGAGTAACACTCTACATTAAGGTATAATTGCTTTGTGTTTCTTAAGGTTTTTCCTTCCAACTGGATAGACTTTCATTGTTCCTTCTGTTGTTATGGTATTATTATTGTTAAACTGGAAATAGATAATATCAACTTAAGAAGATCATATAGTAGTGATTTCGGCATCCTTTGCTGATGATTTAGTTCTGTAGCAATCTATCCATATGTTATGGTTACTCAATTTTTTTTTTGTGCGCTATGAGGTGAAACTCAAAGAAAACAAAGTACATTTTTACAAGTTCTGATGAAAATGTAACATCGCTCAGGTTGGGAACATCAGATAGCCTGTTGCATCAAATTCAGGAGAAAATCAAGTGGGCTGATACAATGAGTGAGGTGAACAAGAAGCACCAGAAAGAATTTGAGGACAGAGTGGAAGAGGCCAAAAAATCAATCAAGGTGAGCTGGATTAAACTGAAGCATTTGTTATTCATCACTTGTTCTTGTTATTAGTAAGATTGAAGAAAAAAGGAATAATTTGCATCTTCTTGTGATGAGTTATGCTCTGTTATCCTCATTTTCGTACTGCTACCTGACGACTGCCTTCTGTTTAGATATATTATTATTATTTTGAGTGTTCATATAATGGCAACTACTGTATTAAATAGTGTTGCCGAACCATGTTTCTTACTTGATGGCAGAAGTTGAACAATTTAAGCAGGCAGACATCGACTTACGGGGGCATGACGACTTTCTCTCTGAATCTGGAGGAATAATGGATTTTGAAGAGGACCGCGTCCGACCAAAAAGGTAATAAAATATAGGGCACTCTAGGTTGTGTGGTATGTATTATCCTGCTAATTTTTAGCTTTTGTGCATCTGTTTGGAGATATTGTTGCCTACTTGTACAGAAGTATAGTGTTTTTAGCTAGCATTATAAACCTATTAAAAGTTAGCTACTCCCTCCATTCCAAATTGTAATTTCTTCTGGCTTTTCTAGATACACAACTTTTTACTATGTATCTAGACATAATCTATATCTAAGTGCATAGCAAAAGCTATGTACCTAGAAAAGCCAGAACGGCTTACAATTAGGAACAGAGGGAGTAGTTTTTAGCTAGCATTTGTAGCTTCAAGTATAGAAGTTTAATGTTTTGTCCAAATGTACTTTGTACATGAGCTACCCTGAGTCACCGTTTTATTAACCCTCCTGTTCGTCCTTTTACAGAATTGTGTTCTATTGTGAAAACTATAGTGCTGTATTAATTTGATGATATTGCATGCAGGAGGCGACAACCACCGGCGTAGTTTCAATTAAGCCCTTACCAAATCTCTCCCAGAATGGGAACTGCTGATACCTTGATTGAGACATTTTGATGCCAGAGTTGAGGAAACTTTGTACATCTGTCATGTGATGCCTCCACTGTAGCGAGTCTGTTATTTTGCCTTCTGGTCAAACTGCTCGTTTGTGTTTTTGGTAGGGATGTACAAGGTCAAACCTTAACGTTATGTTGCATTTATTTGGTAGTAAATGGCGCATGGCAGAAATAGCGCTGTTATGATTATGGCACTGGGTTATTCTCAAGTTTCATTTCGTTCTGTCGTGTTTGTGATGGTTTGTGTGGTGAGGTGCTCGCAGGGTCGTGGCCATGGGCACAGCAGGTGCGCTATTGGCGATTCATGTGACGTTAATCTTCACCGTTTTTATTTTTCAGATGATAGAGATCCGCGCCATTTTTCGGTGAAGCGTGGCTCTTGTTGAGAAATCTGCCAACCTGATTCATGTTCTCTCGATTTTTTTTTTTGTTTCTGACAGAGGTCCGCTCCATTTTTTTCTGAAATTTTATACCGGCCAACCGGATTCATGTTCTCTGGATTGTGTCCGGTATTCAACAATAACGTGCCAGCTAAACATACGCTAAACTAATGGATACATAGACTCTCCAAACTCTCATGAATAGTTCATCCCCTGCGGTAGGTAAGGCAAATAGCCTCGCGCGTTGAGTATAGTAAAATGCCTAACCGGCTATAGATGATTTGACTGATACAACTATAGTGATTTTGCCTATACCATTAAAATATATAGTTTTTGTATAAAAGTAACCAGATTTCAGAATAGACAAAGGAGACTTACCAACATAAAATGACTTCTCGAACGGCAGCATTCTTGCCAAACCCTGACCTGATGCGTCCTGTCCATTACCCAAAAAGGAAGACTTTTAAAAGGGCAGGTATGTTCCAAATTATTCCCCGCTTTCTGCAGCGTGTTCAACCGCTCCAGGTATCATGAACTTGGGTTTGAGCAGTGAACAGTCCATTCAGCATAACATTTGTGGTTAGAAAGGGCTATGTTTTGTTATCACGGGGTGCAAAGCTAATGAAAATTCGATCCAAGGTTGAAAACATTCACACAGATGTCATCACGCTGAACTGAAAGTTCAGGGAAAAACAGGAGCTAAATGGCAGGAAAGAGACTGTTTACAGTGTAGTTTACTGAACGGTAACAAAAGGACAAGGCTATATCTATGTTACAGGAAAAAACAGGAGCTAAATGGCAGGAAAGACTGTTTACAGTGTAGTTTACTTAACGATAAAAAAAAGGACAAGGCTATCTCTATGTTACATGATTGATTCGAGGCTGGCTGACTTGCTGTTTTAGAGGTTAGCGTAGCTGCTCAGGTATACAAACTGCCATCATGTACTCTGCAAAAGAGAACCAACTTTTGGTGAATCAAAATTGTACTAACATGAGAAGAAAAGGCAAATCTGAATTCTGAGACGAAATGTTGGTATGTACTTGTTGAAAAAAGAAATAAGGTTATGTACTTGTTCAAAAAAGAAATTAGGACCAGGTCACATAGCAATACGGAGGGAGCACTACAGCAATACGATTTGCATCAGAAACAGCAGCAGTGAAAAAATCTGGAAGCGGAGGCAGCAATAGATCCACTAAGGCCTTGTTTGATGTAGTCGGATTCGCATCAATCCACATAGGTTGGGGTGGATTGAAGTGGAACTTAACTAAATTTCCACTCCAATCCACCCCAACACATCCCCCAACACATGTGGATTGAGGTGAATCCGATAACATCCAAAACATCCAAACAAGGCCTAAGGTGGATATTCACATGCAGAGTGTTATGCTTAGATAGAAATAGTGAAAACGTTCAACTCCCTCTCCAACTATAGGCTATCGCAATAACATGATTGAACTTCCGTGCCTGCAAAGAGAGGAATACACGCTGTCTATCTCAATTCAAGAAAATACCATCTTGTAACCTTCTGTGCAGAGTGCCAAAAAAAAAATCAAATGACTTGCAAAGTGTTATTCAGTTGAATACAGTGAGAATGTGGACGAAAAACAAGTATGGCTCACGCTATATACACTGTACAGCATGCTAGGAAATAAGTGTTGTCATGCCTAGGAAATAAGAAGTCTGGTAAAAAATGTAAGTGTAATGAGCTGTGTGACAAAGAACACACCAATGGTTGACATCTCACAAGATTGCATATCTGAACAGAACAAAGTTGTGTTCTTTTTTCGAAAGATCCGTTACCGGCTTTCATCGATAAGGAACAAAGTTGAGTTCGATACATAGTTCCAGAGATGTGTTCTCACTTTGTGTTATTTGTTCCCCGTGTGGTCAGCGATCATTCTCTCCTTGGAATTAATGCGTAACTGAACGCTTCCAACCTGGTTCATTTGGCTTTCATAGTACTTTTTCCTCTTCAAGCACTGCATTGCTGCTTGTTTGTTTCCCGACTTTGTAAACTCCTTGGCCCGTTCCATCTCTTGAGAAATCTTCTTTTGCAAGACCGCCTCTTTCGCCTTGAAGACATCGCGAGCCTGCAGAGCCAGCACATACTGTCAGTGATCAATTCAGCAGCGAGAAATGAAATACATCAATCAGATCAGATCACACTCCTTTAATTTAATTCAGTAATTTTTGAGTCTTTGGTTAGTTCAGAAGCGCAGCAAAATGAAGAAATGAAATAGCCTTGAGTGCAAGACCACGCAGTGCAGGATGCAATTTGTGATAGTTAGAGAATGTAGAGGGGTAGGAAACAACATTGCAGAAGAAAACAAAATGTTTGTAATGTTTCTCCTCAACACGGAGGTACCAAAACTTGCATCTCAAACTCATTGATCCAGGTAACAGCAGGAAACCCCACCCCACATTGATCCACCAGCAGTTTATTTGACAAAAGAACAGATCAGCAAAGAAGACAAATTTCTCCTCTTATTATATCGTCGAAGTCCATCCAGGAATTGAAACAAAATAGGAAAGCGAAGGGGAGCACACTGGCACACCCAGTCCCAGAAATGAGACATCACACGAACTTCCCCAATCTTCTCTATCTCACAGTTTCCGCACGCCTTCATTCTTCTTGGTACAGGAAATTAGCTCCATCCTTTACCCCAAGACTCTCAAATGGCAAAAGAGGGGGAAAGGCCTCCTTTTCCTGTTGTGTGGTTCATTCGAAATCGACGGGGAGAAACAGATTTTGGGGGGTGAAAGGCCGACCTGCTTGAGCTGGTCGGAGGCAGAGCTCTCGTCGCGGCAGCCGCGCAGGATCCAGGCGAACATGGCCGCGTCGGCGGCAGCGGCAACTGACAGGAGGAGAAGAGCGCCGCAGAGGCAGAGCAACGGCAACGGCCGGAGAGGAGAGAAAAGGGGAGTAAAAATGGAAAGCCGAGACGCCGTGGAGACAAGTCTAGACGGCGGCCTTTGGGCTTCGGTAGCCATCGGAGTGGGCCGCGACTTTTTTGCGTGGGGCTCGATCTGGCCTTTTAGCGTTCTTTTATTAGGGAACCTACGGTTTCCTACAAAAAAAAGCGTTGTTGCTAAAAAAAAGGCGAACCTACGGTAAACGTTCATCCAGCTAACCCACAGTAAATTACTCATACATCCACACCAGGGTGACGGGTGTGATTGGATTCCAATTTCCAACTTGGCTCGCGCATGCAACAAAATTCGAGAAACGCACCAACTGAACAAATGTACTTTGTTTATACCGTATATATAAACACGTAGCAGCAAGACGAGTGTAGATCGGAGTGGCTAGCTGCATACATACCTGCCTCAGCTGAGACGCGGCGGAGGCTAGCCCGGCGGCCGAGGAGGAGGAGGACGAGGACGAGGACGAGGACGAGGACGAGGACGCAGACGGCTGCTGGCGATCTGCGCGCGGCACGGTGACGGTGGTCTTGGCAGCGACGACGGAATCCGCCGTGAAGCCGCAGAGCCAGTGCGAGAACCAGGGGGACGACGGCCTCGAGCACGCGGCGGAGGTGGCAACCATTGGTGCTATACACGTTGGCTACAAGCTACCAAGGCACGTACGTACGTATGCACAGATGACAGATCCCGCCACTTTACAGGGTTTGTTTGGTTTCCTGGCTTAGATGGAGCCTGTCTAGAATTGGAGCCAGGTTGGGTTTGGCTTGGTTCCATGAAGCTAACATGGACTCGTTTGGTTGGACTGCTTTTGTTGGCCTGGTTTAGCTCAGATTTTGTTTAGTTGGGTGCATGAACTCCTGGCTGTACTAGTGTAGCCAAGAGTAGGTGTGTTTGGTTTGGTGTACACATCTCAGTCCATTCACCCCTAAGTTCAATCGATGTGCTTACCCCGTCACCCATTACTCCGTCCATAAATACGAACCGGCTACCCACAAGCTCGCTCACCACCATTCGTTCACCATCCCCTGACCCCTCGTCTCCCTCTCGCCGTCCCCTCGCCTCCTAGCCCTCCCTCGAAGCCGTCGCCGACGAGCCATCCCACCCGCGGCGATGAGCGACAACGCCGCCGCCGCGGACTCCTTGGAGGTGCGCCGCGCTGTGGGCCGTTGCACTGGTGGCTCCGGCTGCACCTGTGCCTCCCACTCGACATCTCCGCTCCGTTCGCCGGCCGTCGAGTCTCCGTCCAAGAGCCGCTTGGCAAGGAGTGAGGACGGGGAGTCCGCCAACTCGTCGGAGAACCGTGACAGCGACGACAACGCGACATCCGAGGTATACGTTCATTCCCATCCTGCTCCCCCCTACGATTTTAGTTGGAGTGCCAAAAACCCATTTTTGCCTTTGAAGGTCGCAAGGATAGGTGGCGATTTGTGTTCGATTGTTTACAGAAACCCTAGGATAGTTGCCGATTTGTGTTGGATTCTTGAGGAAAAACCCTAGGTGTGATCAAGAACTCATGTTAAGGTCGTAAGGATAGGGTTTTTTCTTAATAACACGACATCATGTTTATGTAATAATGCATGTGATAGAAAGTGTTGATAAATTTCTTGTAGCCTAAAATGACCAATAAAAATGTTAAATGGAAATTTATTCAATAACTCATGTTATGTCAAGTAGGGTGGAAAAACCAATTTTTATTGAGCAAAAATACTATAAAACATGTGTGTGATACTTAAATAAAGTTTGAAGTATAAACTTTGTAGATGACAATATAATACTTTGAAAGGGGCCGTGACGCCTAAGAGGGAGGATGAATTAGGCAACTTAGAACTCTAACTCTAAACTATGGTCTTTTTTTTAACCTTAGCAGAACCTATGCAAAAAGATAAACTATTTAAATGTGCAACTACGATTTTGCTAGTATGTTGCTATCTCTACCGCAAAAGAAGTTATGCAACCTAGGTTCTAAACCTATCAACTAGTCTATCACTAAGCTATGAAAGTAAAGCACACACCAAGATTGCAATGTAAATGCGGAAACTAAAGAGTAAGGTAGAGATATGTAAACTCCCGTCGACGACTCCGATTTTTTTATCGAGGTATCGAGAAGCGCGCAAGCTTTCCCCTAATCCTCGTTGGAGCCCCTCGTAAGGAATCCCTCCAATGGCCAAGCTCCCGATTGGGTAACTCCGTGGATAGCCTTAGGCCTTCCCCATACGCAAGTGGGTCTCCGACGTGCCTTTCGGTAAGTCTCTCCCGGATGCTCCCCGCCGTCTTCACTATCAAGCTTCCGGCCAAAACGCCGCGGGCCTTATTCCCTTCGGTACACGGTGGCGGCCACACCACAAACGCGGTTGGCGTGATCTCGTAAGACTACAAGCCCCTCCGATGTACAACAATGGTGCGCGCAAGCACCGAGTGGTAAGAGGTATGCAAACCTCACTAAACACTAGGCCTAAACCTAGAGCAAGCACATAAGCAGTGGTCTAATCAACCTAATCACTTCGCAAAGCACCTACGCTAATCACCTAATGAATCACTAAACACTATACAAGTGGAGATCACTAAAATAGTGTATCAACACCCTTGGTATGTTTCCTTAACTCTCCACATATCAAATGGCCGATTGGGGGGTCTATTTATAAGACCCATGGAGAAAGTAGCCGTTGGGGGCGAAACCCAGCTTTCTGCTACTGACTGGACGCTGCTGTCGTCCTGACCGAATGCGTCCGGTCGTCCCGATCGTCGAGCACGCGCATAGAGATTGGACTCACTGCCGAGTCCGGTCATCATCAACCAAACATGTCTGGTCGTATTTGCGCTGCTCTGGAACCTCTCTAGACATGATCGGACGCTGCAGTTTGTGCGTCCGGTCATCCAGTGCCGCTGTGTTCGGTCCTCACTGAGTTGTTGCCGCATTGATGAACAGTGAAGTCCGTGCGTCCGGTCACTACTTTGCTCAGCGTCCGGTCGTTGCTGTTGACGCCTGTTGTTGCCAAGCAACTGATCGAACACGCCCGGTCCTCCTAGGGCCGCGCCCGGTCACCTCTGCCGAGCATGTTTCTTCGCGATCTTGCGTCCGGCTTGGTTCCCATCTTCGTGCTTGGACTATACTTGATATCTTGGGTCTTCTCTTATGCTTCTAGGGTCTTGCTTAAGGTGTTGATCATCATGTCACCTTCGTCCAAGTCACGTCTTGCGTCCTATTGAACTACAAAACAAATACTTGCAAATTCATTAGTCCAATTTGGTTGTGTTGGTCATCAAACACCAAAATCCAAAGTAAATGGGCCTAGGGTCTATTTTCCTTACAATTTCCCCCTTTTTGGTGATTGATGACAACACGACCAAAGCAAGCAAATAATAAAATTTTTGGAATTTAAAAACTATTTACTTTCTAGGATGCAATGCAAAGGGTAAGGTTATATGATGCTAAAAGATACCACATGTAAACATCTTTGGAAACTTATCTTGCTCTTGCAAATGTCCCCATGTGGCATTATGGATTTAAGTCTCCCCCTAACTCCATAATCCACTATCCTCCTTTCTTAGACCATTACCACTTGTAAATTATTATGATCGGGCTTGCTTTTGGTCCTACAAATTCTCCCCCTTTGGAATTAAACACAAAAAATGAAGACATTAGTAGCACAAGAGAGGGTCAAACTTTGTGATACTTTGTATGTGGAGAATGTAGTTTATGCACAATTGGCAAATTAATGCTCAAGGGAGTTTAATCTATATAATACATGGAGAAAGCATAGAAATACCAAAGTGAAATCAACATGATGATATCGGTTTATAAATACCACATGTGGAAACCAATTTGATTTATACCACTTACAATAGGTGGTGGATATTTGAAGTATGATGCTTAACTCGGGGACTCCATTTTCCTTGCAATGAGACTACTACACACATGATAAGCTTGAAAAAGTGTTAGTCTCAAAACATCCAACTTGTAGAGTAACCTCCCCCTAAATTTGTGCACACAAGTATGAAATACTTATAAGAGACATGCACATTGATTTTAAAATAAAAAATACCACTTGAAAGATGACATCTTATGAATGTGAGAATCATTTTCAAAGGTGATATTCGGGAGAAATTATCTATAATTTGGACTTTGGCACATCTTAGATGAACAATTGTAAAACAAGCTATGTGCCGTGCTCCTAAATAATTTAAACCATGTAGGTTTGCTCCAAGGGTTAAGAGTGAAACCGAGCAAGCCTACCATAAGATATAGAGAGAATTATGTATTTGGCACTAAAACAAATCAGTCTTTTGCCTTTGGCACTAAAAAATTTAAACTTTCTTATATAGCATTAAGTTGAAATTTCCTTCCCTAGATAGCACTGCCGTCTATTTGGGCTAGTAACGGCATCAAGTGGATGGTAAAATGACATGAATGCCCTTCTTTGTAGTAGAAATGCATGATGTCAAATAAGGAAATAATAGATGAACATGTTGTCAAATAAGAAAATTATAAATATCACAAATATATTGTGAACTAAAACATGGGATTTTGATAATCGAAGTCTACAAATAAATAAATAATAAATTTCAAATTCTAAGGCAAGAGCAAGTCCCGCTGGGGTAGGCTTAGCACGGGAGGGATTTGCCCTGTCTAGTTAGCTTGTTCAGAAATTGTTTGATGCAGTTTAGCAGCTCGCTCATCTCAGTTTGGTCAGTCCTATATTCTTTTCAGATCATCGCAAGACATGAAGACAACAACAAACATATATTTCTCCACAAATGCTTAGAATAGTACATGTTTGAGCATCTGGTGTCACAGCCAATCATCTAGAGTTCTCCATAATTGAACATCAGAAGTATACAAGTACTCATATTTGTCGCTCAATCACCAAAACTATGAATTATTCAATAAAGGACTTCGCTGGGAGCACTACTTGTCTTCCCAAGCTGTTGGATGATGTAGCCAGCTGAACTGGGTTAGCACAAAAAAAAAGCATTGCAAATCTCAAAAATAACAAGTGCAAGAAAACTCTATCCTGTTCTAGATCCAAGAACATGCCCCCGTAATCCTCCTGATCTCGCCTGGGGAG